CCCACGCGTCGTTCTCTGCCAGGCATGACGAGTTGCAGCAAGTGAAGTCAGCAGTGGCGCACATTGGGCAGGCACGCATGAACACGTTCACGCTAGCACATGCGAGGCAGGCAGACAACACTGTTCACGAAGGTGCATGGTAGACGGGTAATTATAGCACTCACACACACACACATGCACACACTGCAACACACACACACACACACACACACACACACACACACACACAACACACCAACAAACACACACACGACACACACACAGACACACCAACAAACACAGCAAATTCACTCAAGGTGTCGAGACGAGCTGCAACTGCCGAGTCATTGAGGCGTTGAAATTCTACTCTAGTTGTCCGATGTGCAGTCAAGTGAATCGGACATCAACGAAAATTGGCGTAGCTGGCAAACATTGTCAACTAACACTGATCCTGCCCAGTACGTCCGTATCCTGCCATCTAGTCAAGCTACATAACCGGGTGTCCCACTGTGCTGGACAGAATCGCTGGTGCCCCTGCCACCATAAGATAGAAAAACACAAAAAAAAAAAAAAAAAATACATCAGACTATTGTCCGCGCATTGACGAAAATCATATCCGCCTTGCCCCAATTATGTATAATAGCAGATCAACTACATACACAGGGACAAGGTAAACAACTGGAGCGTGGCCGGCCCCTGCGTCCTTGTATCCCTATTATCAACACTTGTAGTGCCTGGTGGTACATGTAGTTGTTATTATATACACACACACACACACACACACACACACACACACACACACAAACATACCCACAAAACACACACACGCACACACACACAGACATACCCACAAAACACATACACACACATTCAGCACACACATCGGCCTCACCCTCGTGAAAGTAGAGGTAGAGCTTGCAGCCAGACGCGTCATCATAACCATCGGGGATCTCGTGGTCTGACAAGTACACGGGCTTCCCATTCACCGTCTGCGAAACACACGACATACCAAGGGTTGAGGGCGTAGACAGGTACGTAGGTGTTGCGGGAGTGACTGCTAAACACAGGTACACACACAACACACACAGGTACACACACAACATACACAGGTACACATACACAGGTACACACACATACACACACAGCACACACAACACACCAACCTCATCCTGGAGCTGGAAGCTGCCGTTGATAAAGTCAGCGTGCCCTATCCGACCCGTGAAGATCAATGTGCGATCCGCCTGTTCGTGACAACAGAGCAGCGCAGTAGGGAGAAGTGAGCAGGATAGCCATGACGGCGATGGTGGTGGTGGTGGTGTTGGCGGTGATGTTGGAGTTTTTTGCACACGCAGCTCACAACAGCATCTCGCTCAACTCAAACACACCACAAACACTCACACACACACATACACACACACACACACACACACACACACACACCACACCATACACACCTCGTTGTCCATGACGAAACGGCGACTGCTTGTGTCTGCTACAACTGCTTGTGTCTTCCCCTGCTCGTCCTTCTTGCTCCTCTCGCGATCCCTTGGCTTTGCTTCAGCACCTCGAACGACGCCAACAACAACTACAACAAAACACTCACCACACCACCAACAACACCCTTGTTTTGTTGCTTGTTTGGTGCCGTCTCCGCCTTTTTGCTCTTTCTTTGGGTTTGTTTGTTTTCCCGCTGGGCAAAGGCAAAATTGACCTTGACAGCCTTTGTCAACTTTGCCCTTGCCATCCATTTCATTCTAATTTTTCCCGTGTTTCGCACAAACTTTCTGAAATGCGCGTTTTGTGTGCCACAGCAACCAAGCCACTGGCCAACTGCGTTGCTTTCACCATTCCACTGTTTTGCTGCGGTGACGACTTCCCTCGCCTTTGCTTGCTTTCCCTGCAAGCAACCACAGCAAAAGCAAAGCACAAGGAGCAAACCACAGGACAGATGCATTTTCCCAAAGGTCCCCACAACAACAACCACAACCACAACAACAACCACCACAACCACCACAACAACCTCCACACCCCACCACCCACATGATGAGACAACAGCGACAACGATTGCTGCAGCAGGACCGCTGCTTGCTGCTGCCTTGCGTGCTGCTAATGCTGCTGTGCACCACAAACCCAGCAGTCGCAGCAGATGCAGGACAGGGTGGGAGTGGGCCCACACGCCCGCGCATTGTCACGGACGACGGCAACAACCTGCGGATCGAGAGCGCTCGCAGCATCTTCCTCGAGCCCCACTGGAATGGCACCGTCTACCTCGGCGACATCGACCTCATCTCAACCATGCGCGAGCAACAAGTTCGCATGCGGGCACTGGAAGCCTTGGTCGCCCCGCCATCCGTGGTGTGCCAGGGAAACCGCGTCGAGCACCTCAACTGCGACAGCCAGGCCTCGCGCGACGCTGTCCTGGGCATCGGCGCGTGTGAAGCCGAGACGGTCGTCCACTGCTGCTGCGACGCCTTCTACCAGCTCACGCACGTCTCCGGCGCCGTGTACATCGACCCCAATGCCAAGACCGTGTCCTTTGGAAACATGGTCAGCATCGGCGGTGGCATTCTCAGCAGCAGGGGGAGCTTCACCAGCATCGAGTTTGGCGCCCTGCAGGAGATCCCAGGCCCGCTCATCCTCAGCAGCGACGCGCTTCAAACCCTCAACCTCGGCAGCGTCTCCCGTGTCAGCACAGTCAGCCTCCTCCACCGCAACCTCACCAGCCTCAATCTCGGCGAGCTGTCGCGCGTCGATGGCCAGTTCCTGCTGAACAGCGTCGCCCTGGAATCCGTCGACCTCGGCAAGCTGCAGGCTGTGGGCTCGGACCTCACCCTGCACAGCGATGCCATGCTCTCCATCAACTTTAGCCAGCTCGTCTCCGTTGGTGGCAGCTTGCGCGTGTCCCGCAACAAGCTGCAGAGCCTGCATCTTCCCCTCACCATGAACGCCATTGGCCTGGACTTGGATGCCTCCGAGAACTATCTCTCCTCCATCGACTTTGGCAGCCTCACGTCTGTTGGCCGCAATGTCGACCTCGCCAAGAACGCTCTCACCGCCGTTCACTTCAACTCGCTCACCTCCATTGGTGGCCATTTGGACCTCGCCAACAACGCCATCACACAGCTGGCCCTCACGCAGTCGCTGTCCATTGGGGGTGGCCTGTTTCTCAAGGGCAACCCACTCAGTGCTCTTGACTGCAGCGACATTAACGTCGAGTGTGTGGACATCGACGATGGTGTGATGACAACCAACTGCCCAGGCTCATGCTTTCTTACTCTCGAGTAGCCATACATGCGTGCATGTGCATGTGTTTTGTGTTTTGTTTGGGTTTGTTGGACGCGCTTGAGGGCACGTCTTCTGCGTTCTCCGCGTTTGCTGATGACTATGTCGACAACATCTCTTCTGTTGTTGGCTTTCGACAACGCCTGTTGACCGTTGACTGCCTCTGTTCCGTTTATGTTCTTTGATGGCATGCTTGCTGACGGTGCGCACGCAACGCCACCTACCACTCGCACGCCGTGCTCCTTCCCGCTGTGCTTTTGTCCCCCCCCCCTGCCTTCTGGACAGCTTTGTTCGCCGTGTCTACAGCTGCTTGTTTCTTTCTGCGTTCTTTTGTTTTGTTGCTTGCTTACCCGCTCCCTTTCGCTGCTTGCGTTACCCCCCCCCCCCATTTTCTTTGCGTTGAGCGGGAGCAAAGCCTTGCTCTGTTTGCATCGTCTTTTGAGGAGAGGCCACTGTCATTTGCTTTGCATGGCACTTGATGTGCACACCATGGCTACCCTACACTACCTACTTTTACCGACACGCATCATTCCCTCCTTCCTTGACAAGCTTTCCCTCGCGCTCCCATCGCTCGTTCGTGTGTTTGTAGCTTCTGTATGTCCTTTGGCTGCTTTGTTTGCTCTGTTTGAGCGTTGACGCATTGCTTTGACCGAAATAAATGACCCTTTGGTGGCAATGGACACAGAAGCATGCATGGATCCATTGGGAGCAACCCGACAGAAGGAGAGGGGGGGGGGGAGGAGAGGGGGAGAGGAGGCACAGGCAGGCAGAGGACCACACACACACGCACACACACGTAACACGTATTTACACACACACACACACACACACACGTAACACGTATTTACACACACACACACACACACACACACACACACACACACACACACACACACACACACACACACACACACACACACACACACACACACACGTGTAAAGCACGCACATCAAAATCACCCTATCAACGTATGCTGGTTGGGAAAGGGTGCACACGCCGATCCCACGTGCCAGTGACAGGCAGCACGCTGCGAGGCCCAGAGCACTGGCGAACGCGCAGCACTTGCACGTCAGCGAAGCAGGTGAGGTCGGAGACAGTGCACCGATGCAAGGTGAGGCGCCGCACGCCATTCAGCACCCGCGGGCGGGTGGGAAGGTCGAAGCGAACAGAACATGAAACCACGTTTGTCACTGCGCCAACATGCTTGACACCTTCCAGCTCAAGGTTGTCAACGGCCCGCACCTCCGTCACACGGAGGTGCGTGCCCTCCACATGTGCGTCGCGCACCCCAATGATGGCGGCCGTGCCAGTGCACCCGCGCAGCGATACGGTGGGGCAGGTGATGGTGACGCCGTCCAAGTGCATGTAGGAGAGATGCAGGGAGTGCAGGTGTGCGAGGGATGCCAGCCCCACAAGCTGTGGGTGCGCTGTGTCGAAGCTGGCGCTAAGACGCAGCGAGCGCACAGCAGTAAGGGGGCTCACGTCCACGCGCACGGTTGTTTTGAACACAAGCGTAATGTCCTTCACATGGCACAGCTGCACCACGACCTCGCACACTTGCTCCATGTCGCACAGGTCCAGGTGCACACGGTCCACAGTTGGCGGCACGGGCTCGCTCGGGGCACCAGCGTGATCTCCCTCAAAATACGTGTGCCAGTTGCGGGTGACGTTGACACACGCCAGGGGCGCGTGGAGCACGCGCGCGTCCGCGCCCATGTACGACAGGGTGAGCTTGTCTGTCAAGGGAGCGACCCGCTGCAGCTCTTCGATGCTCCATTCACCAATCAGCTCTAAATGGTCCACGTGCTCAAACTCCGGCAGCGTCGTCAAGTGCTCGCACATGACAAGCTTCATGTACGAGAGGCGCCGCGCGCACCGCACGCTGTTGATGAGGTCGCAGTTGTCAACCACCACTCTGGTGGCGTATGGCATTGACAGCGTGCCGTACATGTGCTGCATGTCCACCAACGAAATGTCCTCCCCCGTGAAGGTGGGGTTCTCCGACTCGTCCTCGTCGGTTTCACAGTTGTCGAGGATGAGGTGTCGGATGTGGGCAATGGGCTCCATGTCTGGGATGCCGCAATTGCAAAGGTGCACGCGGTGTGCGTCTTGCAGGAACCAGAGGCTGTGCAGAATCGCCGTGTGCTCAATGTGGACGCTGGGGATGCCTCCAAGCAACTGAAAGTCCTCGGACGGGCTCACGTCGTTGAACACCTGCACGCACTCCACGTTGTGCATGACGCCGCGCAGCTCCTGCTGTTCCGTGGACATGATGCTCACGTTGCGGATGTTGTGCAAACTGACGGAAGGCAGCGTCGTGTGCAGCTCCAGATCAAGGGCTGGCGCGTCGTGGATTGTTAGCAGCTGCACGCCCCCGTGCGCTGTGGCGTGGACGACAACGTTCACGTGGTCCACAGCTGGGACGAGCCTCTTGAGGAACGCCGTGAGTCGGTCGGCCTGAACCTGCGTGAACAGGTCCACAGACACGCGCACGCGGGCTGCCAGGGCGTCATCACGGGGCGCGGCGGGCGCATCGGCTGGCGGCTCACTTGTGTCATCGCACCCCCACAGCCAGCCTTCCACCCGTGCCGGTGAAGGCCTGCGGTCAAACTCCACGCGTACGCACGCGGAGAACATGCGCGTGTTGGCGGTGGCCGCGCACTCGACTGCCTCTGTCTCACGCACGAGCCACCACACACCAAGCCATGAATGCACGAGGAACCGTTCGAGCCACCACCTTTCTTGTGACTGTGCGTGCTGCTGCTCTGGTTGCCGTGGTTGTAGTGGTCGTTGTTGTTGTTGTTGTTGTTGTTGTTGTTGTTGTTGTTGTTGTTGTTGCTGTGGTCTTTGCCGTTGCTGCGGTCGTTGTTGTTGTATGCAGGGGGGTCCCGACCTTTGCTGTTGCTGTGGTTGTTGTTGCGTGTGGGGGGATCGTGATCTTTGCTGGTGGTTCCGCTGTGAGTTCCTGGGTCGCTGCGAATCGGACGTGCTCGTGCTTGCTTGTGCGCTGTCGTGGCACGGGCGAGGCAGCCAAGTGGTGGCGGGCGATGCCTTGGCTGGGTTGTACGCGTGTTCCAGGCACCACTTTGGCAGTGCAAACGGCAAGGACGCGTAGAACTCCTTGCTTGTCATCATGAGGTTGAATAAAGTGCGCGGTGAGCTCTTCGCCAACTGCGCAGCAATCAGCGCCCACGTCCCCAGCCCCACCACCACCACCGCATCCGCATCCGGTGGATCCACACCACCCTGTCCTTGCCGCATCCCTGCAGAGGAGCCACCGTGTTGCTTGGCGGAAGAAGACATGAGTGGGGTTGTGTGTCTTTGTGCGGTGCTGACAGGAGGACAGTGTCCATCAATCATGCCATGCATGCACGTCAAGAGCGTTTTGCCGTGGTGTTTTGTGTGCGCTTGTGGTTTCTTTCGCACTTTCCTCTCGTTTCCTCTGTGCTTTCCCACCCACAACAAGCAACACAGGAGGCACGCACGCGTCGCGAAGAGGATGTGTGCCTGCGCGGGCTGCTGTCCTACTCGCGCTGGTAGCGGCCATTGTTGCGTGTGGCGGAGTCGGCGTGCTGGTGCAGGGAGAGGCGCAGCAACAGCAGCAGCAGGGACAGCAGCAGCAGGGACAGAGTGGGAAGGCGAGCATCGTGTCTGACGAGTACAAGAACCTGCACATCACGAGCTTGAACAACACCTTCATCAACACCCGACAACAGAGCCCGATCGACGGCGGCAATGGCACCACCACCACCACCACCAACACAAGCAGCAGTGGCAGCGTGTTTGTGAACGGCCAGAACCTGGGCCGCATGTTTGAGCGGTTTGCGGACCTGGAAGCCAAGGTGGAGCAGCTGCAACAAGAATTGGCGCACGTGCGCTCGCTCCTGCCCGCAACAAACACCAGCACAACCACAGCAGCTGCGGCAACCACAACGCAGCCACCGAGCACGACCACTGGTGGTAACTTCCCCAGCCTTGACTGCACAAAAGCCAACACCATACCAGACATTGTCACTGAGGCGCAGGACGTGAATCACTGCTGTTGCGAGGAAGTGTCTGACCTCGAGATGGTTCACGGACACCTGCTCATGGACACACACGCAGACCCAGGTGTCGAGTTGTCGGAATTGACCAGCGTTCTCGGCAAACTCGAGGTTGAAGGGGTGGGGCTGCAAACCTTGCTCTTCGCCTCCCTCCACACTGTCGGTGGCATGGTGGTGCTTTTGCAGAACGTGGCGCTTACTACCTTCTACGCCCCAGCCCTCTTCCACGCTGGTGGCGTGGTGATCAGCAATAACCATCAACTCTCGACCGTGGTGACTTCCAAGCTCTCCGTTGTCGACGGCCCACTCACTATCAGCAATAACCCAACACTGTCCGCCGTGAGCGTAATGTCGCTTGCGTCTGTGACGGGTGACTTGACCCTTCGAGAACTCGCCGTGTCCTCGCTTGACTTCTCGACGCTGTCGGCGGTCGGAGGCAAGATGGATATCTCCGACAACCAGTATCTAAGTCAGCTGGTGCTTGGTGACAACGTCAACGGCCTCTCCATCAACATTCACGGCGGCATTGACATTTATGGCAACCCAGACCTCTCCCAGATATCGTTTGCGGCGGAGCTGAACACCCTTGCACCCATAGTCATCAATCACTCTGGCGAGGAAACCCTACAAGTCAGCTGCACTGCACCCATTAACGCCCCGGGTGACTGCCTCATCTTGACTGGTCCCATTGCCCTTGACAACAACTGTCCTTCGCAGTGTTCTTGAATGATGAGCCACCTCCTGCACCGCTCTTTGAGTGGTGTTGTCATAGTTCCTTCCCTCTCCTGCTCGATATTGCTTCCACTTTCGTGGTTCATCCTCCATCTCTTAGGCCACGTGTAGACGTGCGTCCACGTACCCAAATATCTTCTTGCTACCCTCATCCTGCTCTCCTGTCACACCACACTATTCAACAGTAGTAACCTTCCACCCCCACCCAGCACACGACAACCGACATGCATCGTCGACTTTCCCTCTTTCTTTTTCGCGTGCGTACACATTTCTCTCAAATCAATCAAAAGCAAAGACATGATGCAAAGGCTCTCGCGTGCGACGTTGGGCGCTGTTGTGGCGGTGTTGGTTGTTGTGGCGATGGGCAGGGACGCGGCTGGCGACGTCGGTGGCGCCAGCAAGAACAAGGCAAGGATTGTGACGGACGAGAACGACAACCTGCACATCCGCAGCCTCAACAACACGTACATGTGGACGCGCGCAAACACGACTGGCGGCGGCGGTGGCGGCGTGTTTGTGGATGGCGTCAGCGTGCATGATTTGATCAACGAGGTGAGCACGTTGAAGCGCGAGGCTGCCAACCTGCGCATGCAGCTGGCCGAGGTCCGTGCTCTCGCAGCGCCAAACACGACAGAGACGGAGTGCCTCATCAAAGTACCGGGCGAGGTTGACTGCGGCAATGGGGACAGCGTGCTCTCGGGCGTGTGCGAGGCTTCCGACATATCTCGGTGCTGCTGCGACGCTGTACAGGACATCACCGTGGTGGACGGTACCATTGACATCAACCCACTCTCCCCGACAACGGCAGCCACCATGGCGCGCCTGCTCACAGTTGGCGGCAACTTGAGAGCAACGTCCTTGCACGTGTCGAGCATCAGCTTCCCCGCTCTCCGGACGGTTGGCGAGGAGGTGTACTTCCGTACAAACAATGCCTTGACGGCGGTTCACCTCCCTGCGCTCCAATCCGTCGGACTGGATCTCAAGATTGAGTCGAACGACGCTCTTACAGTCATCGACTTTCCGTCCCTCCAAGTTGTGTCCGGCGCCATGGATGTGAAGGGCAACACAGCAATGTTGCGGTTGCACCTTCCAGCTTTGGTCAGCACCGGCGATATCCGCATTGAGTCCAACGACGTTCTCACTGATCTGACCATTGGCGGCCCTGAACGGCCGCTTCGAGTGTTTGGTGTGCTGCAAATCCAAAGCAACACGGCGCTGAAGTCCCTGACCTTTACATCGTCCAGTGCGGAGATTGCAGCCTCGTTCGCCATTCGCAACAACCCGAAACTCGGCCTGGTTGAGTGCATCGGCGACTTCAGCAAGGCCCCTTGCGTGAATTTCTATGGCAACAGCAACGATGCCACACTCGGCCCTGGTTGCCCGGCTATTTGCCAATTCGTCTAGGTGCCGTTTTGTGTGTGTGTGTGTGTGTGTGTGTGTGTGTGTGTGTGTGTGTGTGTGTGTGTGTGTGTGTGTGTGTGTGTGTGTGTGTGTGTGTGTGTGTGCTGCCTGTGTAGTAGGTCTCTCCATGGCTTCACTGCCTTTCTTGCCCCCCTGCCCCTCTCCGGTCGCCTTGACTGTTCTGTTTGTGCCTCGTTCTCTACACCCTCGGCCGTGAACAGGTGAACTGTGCGCTGCCTCCTCTGGTTGATTGTATGGTTCATGCAATAGTAGGCCATGCATTTTGTGTCCTTTAGACTTTTAGATCTTTGTCTGTTCTCCCCGTTACCCTGACCTTGCGAACCAATCGCTCAATCAACAGCCATTACACGTGTATTGGGTGAGGCAGTGAAGAGGGGAGCTAGCCGAGGCACGTCTACTTGGTTGCTTGCAAGCAAGCAAGGCGGTAGCGAGACAGAGAGAAGGAGAGAGGGTCTGTGAGGTGGGTCTTCGCTAGTTCGCTGGTCCCATATTGGGTGGCGATTGCGTGCAATTATTTTCCGCCACACACGAGAGACGATAACAAGCAAGATGGCCAACTTTGCTGAGGATCAAGTGCAGCGCTTCCTCGCGTAAGCCCATGCGTTGTGAGAGCTGTTGTGAGGGGATGTGGTTAAAGGGAACTGCCTGCTCACTGCAGTTATACATGTGTGGGTGTCTGGTTACCAGGGCTCGTGGAGCCGCTCCTGCTGCTCCCACGCAGCAAGAGCCAGCTCCCATTGAAATGAACGACGCAGATGAGCAGGTGTGTGTGCGATGTGTGTGTGTGTGTGTGTGTGTGTGTGTGTGTGTGTGTGTGTGTGTGTGTGTGTGTGTGTGTGTGTGTGTGTGTGTGTGTGTGTGTACTTCGTCATGCGTGCTGGCTGCTAATGGGCTCACTGTTAATCGCTCACCGACGCAAATGTCCACGCGCGCTCTATGTTCGCCTCTCCCATGCATGCAGATTGCTCGCTTTCTCGCCAAGCGTGCTGGAAAGGCCAGCGGCGCCACCGCACCTGCACCGGCCAAGACTGCCACGACAACACCTGCCACTGCATCACGGCCCGCCATCAAGCGGTGCTCTGCGCCAGGCACACTGACCTTGCCCAAGGTGCGTGCCCAGCACCCATGTTTGGTCGCAGTGTTGGTGGCGTGTGGTGTCATGTGCTGTGATGTTGTGTATGCGCACACGCCTTACACACACACGTGTACACACACACACTCACACACACACACACACACACACACACACACACACACACACACACACACACACACACACTCACTCACTCACTCACTCACTCACTCACATACACGTTGCGCAGAGCCTCGAGCGGCTGGTGTCCGTCATCTCCGGGGTGCTGCAGCTCGACGTGCGCACAGAGGTGTCTGAGACCGCCACCACTGCAACATACACGGCAGGAAAGACCGACGCCCCTGCGCAGGGCATCTTTGCATGTGTCCAGGCCATGTGCGCTCAGCACCCGATGCTGCAGGGCGGCAACGTGGAGGAGATGTGCGCGCGTGCGGAGGCGCTGGTGGCGGTACAGGAGGGCCGCGGTGCACAGATCCGTCGACAGGAGCTGGCAGAGATCAACGCCATCATCAACGACGCTGCCACCATCACTGGAGGTGTTGCAGGTTCATCGCCCTCACTGGCGGACTTTGCCATGTGGGCCGCCGTCTGCACCATCATGGTTGGTTGGCTTGTGTATGTGTGTGTGTGTGTGTGTGTGTGTGTGTGTGTGTGTGTGTGTGTGTGTGTGTGTGTGTGTGTGTGCGTGTGTGTGTGTGTGTGTGTGTGCTGAGCTCTTTGTGCGTTGTGCGTTGTGTTGAACAACAACGCCACTTGCGCCTTGCACCAGCAAACACGCCATCCTTTGCTCACTAAAGCCCACTACACCTGCGCACCACCGACGAACCACAGTCACAGGTGACGTACGCGGACTACCAGGCGTGCCACGACCTCATCCGCTGGCTCGACGCTGTCCAGCACACCCCGGGCATCAATCCAGCAGCCAGGGTAGGTGCGTGTCTGTGTGTGTGTGTGTGTGTACATGTGTGTGTGTGTGTGTGTGTGTGTGCGTGTGTACATGTGTGTGTGTGTGTGTGTGTGTGTGTGTGTGTGTGTGTGTGTGTGTGTGTGTGTGTGTGTGTGTGTGTGTGTGTGTGTGTGTACATGGGTACGTGAACCCCTTCCATCGCCCTTCCCAACACCCTTCAACACCTCTCGCTCACACCATGTGTTTCGTTCAATGCCCCTTTCCCCCTTCACTCCCCCCCCCCCGCTTTGCATGGCACCCCATCAGCGCAACGTGGTGCTGAATCCGGCGGTGCACATTGCGCACCAGATCACCGCCGCCAACGCATAGCCCGCGCACACACGCAGGTGTTGACTGGGATGTGTGTGTTGTGGTGTGTGTCGTTTGTTTGTTTCAATGCCGGTGGTGTTTACAGCGTTCAGTTGCGAATAAACGCCAGTGAACAGCAACACCCCAGCAGGGCAAGCAAGCAGGCACAGGGATGAAGACATGCAGACACACGCAAGACACACCAGCAGACGCAAGCAGAACAGCCGTCAATGTCACAGGGGCAAAAAGGAGAGCGCCCACAAACAAGAATGCAAGCCAACAACAACTCACTCACACACCCATCGAACAACAGTAACACACCCTATCATCGACCCGCAACACAACACCCAAACAATGCGCACACGTGCATGTGTATGTGCATGCATGTGTATGCGCGCGCGTGTTCAGATGAGCTCGACGTAGTTCGCGGGGAAGAGGCCGCGGCGATCACGGCATGTGCCCATCCACCATCCCTCGTCCACCTGATCCACATCCTCAATCACATCGTCCGGGTCAAACGAAATCTCGTCCTCCCCAGCTGAACACACACGCACGCAAGGGAGTGAGTGAGTGAGTGAGTGAGTGAGTGAGTGAGTGAGTGAGTGAGTGAGCGAGTGAGTGAGTGAGTGAGTGAGTGAGTGAGTGTGCAAGTGAGTGAGTGAGTGAGTGAGTGTGTGTGTGTGAGTGAGAGAG